GGTTCTTCTAGAGGGTTTATAATTTTTTTTTCTACTGTAAGGGTTTAAAAATTAGCACTAATATTCTCATCACCAACAACATCAAATGGCAAAACTGGAAAAATGGCATAATGGCAAATAAAAAAGGAAAATGGCAAGCATCTTGCCCCTCCTGTTGCCCCAAACTGGCTGTTTTCGAATATTCGTTTTTATTGTCATGAATGAAAGGCAATTAATTGACATTTATTCATGGTAACAGATAGTATTAGAATTAATTAAGTTCAAATTATGAACAATAGTCAAAATATCTAACCTGTTTTGGCAGCAGAGCTTATTTATGCATGTATAAAAGTTATAACGTGTCAGCAGTAAACAATCAAAGCTTCACAACTAATACAAAAACGGCGATTTCAGCGCCTTTATACTATTTTTTAACAAATAACCTACAGGAGAGTTAGTATCGTCCGATTAGTGCTGCCACCTAGTGAAAAATTGAAAATTAATGACATTTATTATCTTGGCCTGGTCTCCCCTATATATATAATATATATATATATATATATATATATATATATATATATATATATATATATATATATATATATATATATATATATATATATGTGTGTGTGTGTGTGTGTGTGTGTAAATTTGTATATATAACATATATATATAGGTTAGACCTATAATACTGTGCGTGAAAGTGTTAATAAATTTTTTTTATATGTTACATTTTTTTTTTTCATGCATGACAATTGATTGCTTAATTATAATCTTAATTTTAAAAAAATGAAGATTATAATTAAGCAATCAATAATAAAGACTTAATTAAAAAAAAAATTGATTTGTTATTTTTGCTTTTATTTAAGTTAAGCAAACATTTTAAACAAAAAATAGAACATTTCTAAATAATTATCTATAAGAAGAACAAAATTTTTGAGTTTAGTTTTTGAAGAAATTTTATTGTCAGAGTAATTTTTTTAAATGAAAAATCTATTTTGGATTTAATTTGTTATAAAAATAATAAATAGAAAACAGCCGCAATAAAAAATTGACAATCGAGAAATTTATTTTTCCGATAAAGCGATAAAGTTACCAGTTGCTCTTGTTTTAAATTTATTAATATTAATATGAAAGAAGTTTTCTTTAAATCGTGTTAAAACTAATCTCATCTAGTATTCTAGCATGAATAATATCGTCGGTCAAAAGCTATTACCACGAATCTCAAAAATGCAGTTTTGTGGTTTCAATGCTTTCGTACTGTAATTTACAATATGCATCTTTAGTTAAAACCCCATAAATCAAATACCATTTAAAGTGCCATTTACAATAAATGTACATTAAATGTGCCAAGTACAATAAATACCATTTATTTGTTGTAATAAACTTTGAATTTATGTAATAGTGAGTTTTCAATTATTAGTTCAGATTTTTTCTTCTCCTGAAAACCTTGATTTTTTGAGATAGATAGTTAGAACGACGATATGTTAGCATATATATTCTTTTGTTAAATATTCAGCAATTCCATTTATTTTAATAAGGGTTTACCAATGAGTAAGTTTGCATTTTATTGGTTTTGAGTGAAATAAAATATATCTAGTTTATTCTAAGTTTAATGATAATTTGTTAATTCTGTAAGTTTTTAAGCCCAAAAAGACTATTATAAAGGTCTTTTTGTGCTTAGAGATAGAAAGGTAGATAAATTAAACAAGTTTGTATCATCTGCTAACAATATAGTCAAAAATTGTGGTGGCTTAAGGAAGATCGTTATTGCACATAAAGAATAGCAAAGATAGATCACCGAGGACACCGCATTTTACTTTTCAAAGTTTTGTATTAAACAGCTAGTGAACTATTTGATAGTTTCCAGGCGTAAACCAAAAGCACGTATATATTACGGGCAGTTTTACTAGAGTTTAACACGTGATTTTTGAGGTTTTAAAGTCAAATTTAAATGTCGCATATTTTTATCAGTGGTTTCACATTCCTTACGGAAAGTTATTAAAATATAATACTACGTTTCCATAACGGTGAAACCATTAATACTTTAACTGGTATTTATGGTAAATAGTAATAGTTAATTTCACGGAATAAAAACCATTTAGGATACGTGTTATTCTTTTTGTTTTAGAATGTTTTAAAAACGCAACAGAAACCAAGCGTAACTATTTTCTGAGTTGTGCCGGCTGGGTTGGTTTTGAACACCATGTTTTCTATTTTTCAAGAAAAATTTCGTAGTCGACAGTATCAAAAGCTTTTTTAAGTTCAATAAAAATTCCTAAAATAAACCTTTCTATACCAAAAAATGCGCTAATGTTGTTTATTAGGTCTAAGGTTGCATGTTCCGTTGAATGATTTGTTTGAAAACCGTGTTATTGACTTGAGATTTTTTTATAGTCTATTAAGCATTTTAAAAGTTTTTTGAAGATCGTTTTTTTTAGGAATTTGGAAAAAATTAAAAGAATAAGGGTTTAATTGCTTAGCAATGACGTGTCTCTAGTTTTAAATATTGGTAAAATTTTTGTCAAAGTTTTTAGTTTGTCAGAGACAACTTCTGTTTTAATTGATGAGTTAAAAAGGTCTTTTTACAACGGAAAAGATATCAAATATTACATTACTGGAATTGTCGTCGATGTATGGAGTTTTTTTTTATTTCTTTAAATTTTATTACCTCTTCAAATTCTTCTAAATTTAGATTACTTTCAGAATGTGAACTAGTATGCTCAGTAAAATAGTTGTAGCATGGTTTTTTGAATTGTTTATTTTTAATGGCAGGTTTGCGGCAATATTTGCATAAAAACTTTTAGAGTTTTTTCATCTGTTACACTGCGGTGGAAGTAGGTTCAAACCAAATAAAATGTCCCAGGGTCATGTGATACTTTTTTTGATCTGTAGGGGAGAGTGGGGTAATGACGAACAGCTAAGCGGGAATGCGAATTAAAGACAATTATTACTATATATTAATGATATTTTTTGCTTATTATTTAGTCTAACCATTTGGTTAGAATCACTCAAAAGCAATTTTCATATATCTTATTAAAAAATAAAAAATTCGATTAAAAACAAAACCTTCGGTGTTCGGAATTACCCTACGTACATGGGGTAATTCCGAACATACCGTGTATATATATATACTTATATATATATATATATATATATATATTATATATATATATATATATATATATATATATATATATTATATATATATATATATATATATATATATTATATATATATATATATATATATATATATATATATATATATATATATATATATATATATATATATATATATATATATATATATATATATATATATATATATATATGTATGTATACTTATATGTATATATTTATATATATACATATATATATATTTATACATATATATATATATATATATATATATATATATATATATATATATATATATATATATATATATATATATATATATATATATATATATATATATATATATATGTATATATATATATATATATGTATATATATATATATATATATATATATATATATATATATATATATGTATATATATATATATATATATATATATATATATATATATATATATATGTATATATATATATATATATATACATATATATATATATATATATATATGATATATATATACATATATATATATATATATATATATATATATATATATATATATATATATATATATATATATATATATATATAAATTTTACAATAATAAACTAAATAAATAATGTAAAATAACTTTATTTAAGAATCATCCGTGTGTTATCATATACGCTAGAATACTTTGAAGACAATAAGTGTTCGCGATTACCCCACTAAGATCGTTCGTTATTTCCCCGCGTTACAACCAAATGAAATTAAACGAATATATTGAGGTAGTATTATCATACCCTAAATATAATACGTGTTACAAACTCCATGATTATGATACTTTGCAACAACATAAATAAAAGTGTGGTTTTATATACATAGTATAGCCAATACATAAATGTTTCGCAAATAAAAATTACATAAAACTAAGAGAAAAACTTAAAAGCAATCTACCGCGAAGAACCTGCGCATTTATAATACACTATTGCACGTCTGGAACTGAGCATGGAACCCACTCTTGTCAGAAAAAAAAAGATTGTCAGCTATCCTTTTCTAACATGCCTTAACAACCTTGTTCGGAGTTACCCCGCGTTCGCCATTACCCGACTCTCCCCTACTGGCCTCTACTTTAAGAAAATAACACAATTGAAAAAAAATTTCGAGGTCCAAGAAAAAAAAGATATTTTTGTAAACCGAAAAAGTTATTATTTTTCCTTGTATATCCATTAAGTATTTTATTCAATCATGAGACATTTTAATATAGGTTTTTAAGTGTCAAATGTTATTAAGAACAAATATATGATGTTTTGTATTCTTGTTTATAGGAAAGAGAATTAATATTGGTTTTTCTTCAACATTTATTTTTATATGTGTATTAAACTATTAATAGTTTAATACATATAAAAAAATAAATTTATTATATTATATTATAATATTATAATATATTATACTAAATGTTATATTAAATGTATTATTTTATATATTATATTGTTACATCAAAACATTATATTATATACTATATTAAATGTTATATTATATTATTATATTTTAATATTTTACAATATAGTTTTCTTGTAAGGTTATTCCAACTTCTGAATTATTGTCTGAGGGAACAGTTTAGCAATCGTTATAGAGAGTTTTTCATATAGGTCTCCAAAGGGAATTGATTGTGTTGCAATTGTTAATCATTATTCTAAACGAGTGTTTGAAATAATTGTCCATAGGGAATTAATTTCGTAACTATCTTTACAATAAATTTAAAGAGATCTATTAAAATCAATAAAAAGAAATCTATGCAAAGTTAACCATTAAACTCGATATTTTCTTAATATATATTCAGTAAAGTCTACATTTTGAACCACCAGTACTTCAATGGTGCCTAATCAGAAATTAAACCACAAATATAACTGAAAAAAAGTTTGCATTGTGTTCTTTGAGATGACAAAACAATTAGAGAAATAACTGGCCCAACCTATAAAAGACTTCAAAATTATTTTATCCCAAATTTGGACATGGCTAAAGGACATTATCCTTCTATTATCAGTTCACGCGACAGAAAATTTCTGAAACTCATTGAAAAAGGTATAAAAGAATCGAAAGCTCTTCCAGCACCATATGATTTTTCTGAAATAAGAACTTCCATTATTACAAGAAGTCAGCCTACATGCGAGTGTGCTGTTTGTGTTGTTGCAAGGAAATTTATCTACCCAAGAAAAAGAAAAAATCAAAAAAAAGGAAGACCAATATCCACTGAATCAGTTCTTCCACCTTCCTTACCCATATCTGTATGTCAAACATGTCTATGTACATCAGGACGCGGGTTACCTCACTCTTGCAATATTTCAATTAGCAGGGATAATCATGAGGCGGTTCTGTCTAGAGGTATATCTGTATGTATATATATAATAATTACTTAGCCTAAAACCACTTGCGCAATAATAATTTATGTTAAAACCAATAAAATATAGTATTATGAGGGTTCATACAACTTTTGATGTTAAAGATATAATATATTATATTAAATATAGTAATATATTTTAGATGAGAGAGGTACAGAGCTTTTTTTGTACTAAAATCCTAATCTGAACTGGGTGCAGATGATTCAGTAAAGCTTGCTAACAAAGGACCTAAAATTTATAATATTGAAATTCCAAAGAAAACAGAGTTGAAAACCCTTTTATCTGAAAACAAGGTGTCAGCTAGTGAAATCACAAGATTCAAAAATATATTAGGATTAAGGATTCCCAAACAAAAACTGCTTGTAGTGTTGTTAGAAGCTGGAAAGGAAGAGAGTTTTTTGAATCTAATATAAAAGAAAAACTTGTGTTTCAAGACTGTATTTAAGATCGTTACTTTAATATTGCAGAACTTCGAATCAATAAGCAAACAAAATATTTAGTCTGCTGTACAAATGTGTCTGAGCTATTTAATCAACTAGTGGAAAAAAGAGATCACCAGATTATATTGTAAAGATTAGAATAGATGGGGGAGAAGGATTTCTAAAGGTTTGTTTAAATATTCTTGATTGTAAAGTGAATGAACCTAAAACCAAGTTCTCATACAGAGAAGAAATAAAGCAGGAAAAGTTCAAGGACGGAGGAGTTAAGAAACTTATTATTCTGGCCATTGTTAAAGATGTTAAAGAGAATGACCCAAACATTGAGCAAATCATAGAATATTGGGAATTGCAACGAAGAAGTATTTTTTAGCATTTGACTTTTAAGCTTGCGAATATTTATTTCGGAATTGAAACTGCTTCTTCTACTCACCCCTGCAGTTGGTGTGAATTGTCAAAGCAAGACATGCATGATTTCACAACCTGTGGCGCATAAGGTAATTAGGATTTAGTATGGCATAATAAATTATTTTTTTTACAGTCAAAACATTATTCTGTTTTTTTTTTTAATTTGGGATTTTAATCTACTTTTTTTCTAGAACACTTGGTACAATTAGTGATAATGCAAAGAAGTAAAAAAAAAGCTTGTGAGAATCACAGAAAAAAAAAGTAAACTCTCGACTGCACCATTTAAGAATTGTGTTCAAACTCTTTTGATAGACCTGCCAGATGATACATCGGTTGCAGAAATCCTTCCTCCAATGGAGCTTCATTTATTTTCTGGAAACACAAACCGTTTGAATAACATAGGTGATAAAATACTTTTAAAAAAAGAAACATTAATTTCCATGAATATGTGAAATAAATCAATTGGATTTATTAGGCCAAGATTGCACAGCGGCCAGTTCAAGGGAGCAAAAAAAGTATCACATGACCTTGGGACATTTTTTTTAGTTTGAACCTACTTCCACTGGAGTGTGTTGTATACTCAATTTTATTTTAACTCTGGAGGGTAAAATTTCAGATTTTATTTTAGTTTTAACAATAATTTTATTCATTATTTTCAATTTTTTTTTATTTACTTTTATTGTAATTGTTTGGAATAATACTTCATTAAATTCAGAAAGGTTTTTTTATTATTTGTACGCAGTAAGATTTTTTTTTCATTTTTATTTTTTAAATAATTGTTGCATAACTTTTGTTTTTTCTTTAAGGATTTTTTTATTCCGTTTGCACGTGTAGAGGAACCCAAAAAAATAGTGGATCCCAAAAGTCACACACATTCCCACCTGTAACTCATAGATAAAACCCCATCAAAGAGTAAGGTAGTACTTTTTCATTGACAATATAATTTTTTGAAAGAAAACTATTAAAAATAATCAGCCATGCCTAATTTTATGAAAATTATACTGAAAATATTAAAAATTTAAACTTTTGGTATAATAGTCTACTAAAATTTGAAATTTAAGTTTGCTAAGTAAAGATTTTTCCATAGATTTTAATCATAATTTTGCAAAAAAAAAAAAGACAAACAAAAAAAAACAATGAAAAAGCAACAGCCAATATAATTTTTCTTAATCCATGTATTTTTTTCAAGTTGGTTTTTGGGGCCAATTATAAAAAAAAAAAAATACTTTTAGGATCAAAAACTTGATTTTATAAAGAAAGTTGCATTTTTCTATTAATCAAGTGAAATATTAACCAAATTTTTATGAACCAACCTTTTCATGTAAATCTGTTTTATTTGTGTTTGAGACAGAGTAACCTAAATTAGATAATTAGAGTACACCCTCGTAGCTATCATAACTAGCATACGGTGATGCATTTGCAGTTCTCTATCATCATTTTATAATATGTTTTCCACATTTGAGCAAAAAAAGACAAGCTAGAATTCCATCAACGCCAAGTTGATTGAATTCTAGCTAACAAACTGTGGTGTTTCGTCCTTATTAAGTATTCGCTCCATATCAATTTTTTCAGACCAAAATATTTCTTCTTTCTCTGTTTAATGCAAGATTTAATAAATTCTTTTGCAAGAGCATCTAAAAAAAAACAATTAGTAATTTAGTTCTTATTTAGTTCTGAGTCCTTAATATTAGGAGGGAAAGGGGGGGGGGAGGGGACGTTCATTAATTTTCGGAATTTTAATTTTTTTCCACCCACCCTAAGTTTATTAAGACACCCCTCCCCTCGTTTATTTATTTTTACTTGTTATCAACAAAAAAGTTTATATCTCAAAACTTTAAAAAAATTCAGTGAAAATCGGCTCTAAAAATTAGAAAATAATTATTTCAGTCACCGACAAAAACAAAAACTTTCAATGTAAACTGGCTTTAATCATCGTTGACCAAAAATCTAGATTTGTCAAAAAAGAGTTTTTGTAGTGCTTTTGTTACTTATAAATTTGCAATCAAAGTAGGTACCTACTATATGTAGTACCTACTATAAGAAAGTAAAATTATAATAATAAACTCATTTTAAATATGGAAAAGTTTCAAATTTTATACATACAAAAATAGAAAAGAAAGCCAAAAAACAAAATTTAGGTTTAAAAAAAATTTAAGAAAAGTATTAATGCTATAAGCAAAATTAAAAACCACAAAATGCTTGATAGCAACTTGAAAATTTATTAAGATTTGCTAATTTTTTTGCACAGCTGTGGCCAAAGACTTTTTCTTTATTTATTATTTGATATACTCGAAGGAGACTTTAGATCTTATTACAGGGCGTTGAGGAAGTGGATTAAACCAGGAAGTCAACGCAGGCAAATATATACTAATGGGAAACCTTTCCACATTTAAAAGTATTTATTTTACCCGGTCGTATTATTTCATAATCTTGACAAAAAATCCCATTTTTCCAATCTAGTCTTTTGCTAATAGTTATCTTCGCTGATTGAAATTGACTTGATTGCACCTCGAACTCAAAAACAGCACAATTTCATAACATCTGAGCGATCGTGGCGCAAAGGTTAGTAGTGTTTGCTTTATAAGCAAGAGATCCAGCGTTCAAAGCAAGCTCTAGGCATATTTTGCGCCATCGGTAAAGAAGAAAACGTGTACTTCCTGTTCTTCCGCGGTGCTCTGTAACAAGACCGTTAGGTCTAGTCACTGAGCAATAATTCTTGACGCTCCTAAAACAAAAAAAGTTTATCTTTAGCTTTAAGCTTTGATTTTTAAGACTGCCATAAAATTTTGCGCCTAATTTTCTTGTACCATCATTTCCATTTTAATTTTAAGGTGGTACACTACTAAAAAAAATAATCAATTTGAAGTAAAATATCGAAATTTAGTTTTTTTATAAACTTGAAAGATCTCAAAGGCAGGGCTGACAAAACTGGGGGGGGGGGGTCACATGCCCCCTCCTCCACTTTTTTTTTAAAGGACTTTGTTTTAAAGAAAATTTTAGACATAGAGAAATTTTTTTAAAAATTGACGATTGTGCCCCGCCATTTTGAAACTCGTAACGTCGGCCATGGAGAGTAGGTGAAGAAAATACATTAGAATACTACCAGTGGAAGTTAGACTACAATTATCAAATAAACCATGAAGGGTTTTCAGGATCCACGGAATCATCAGGTGCTTTTGACATTTTTTATCGCTTTATTTCAAATTGAAACTTGATTTATAAAGAGTACCTTTGAGATGGTTTCAGATGTTATAAAATCACAACCTTACATTGCACAATGGGGTCTAACAAAGGAAAAAATGGGAAAAAATCATAAAAATCAAGTTTTTATTTTTTCAAACTTTAACTTTAAAAGCAAAGTTTAAACTAGATTTTATTTATATTTCGTACATGTCTGTCAATATATTAAGTATAACAAGCCATGTAATTATATATTTATGTGTATCAAATACAGCTCTCTTCTCTTTTTAATTATCTAATAGCTTTTTATATGTGATTCTAATGCCACTAAGAGACTTCGCTAAACTGAAATTTTTTTAACAAATTAAGTATATAAAAATATCGCAACTAAAAGCGGTTTCTTGATGACAAGACCACATGGTCTTCTGCAAGTTTCCCGCATTCTTTTAACAGCAATATTTTTTTATATTTATTATTTGAGATATGT